CAGAGAATAGCAATAGCACGCTAAGGTGCGTATTGCACAATGCAATCAAACTGTGAACTATATGCCTTTCCTCGCTTGAGATGCTGCCGCGTTCCTTTCAATTTTTCCCCTCCATACGTCCCGTACGTTACCATTTGTCATTCATTGCATCGCAAATGAAGATGCACGATTTTTGTCCATTATTGTTTTCGAATTGGTAATGCCTATCGTGCAACCGTTTGACTTATTATACCGGTACTGCATTGATTTTGCAGGAATGATGGGAATGAGGTCTGATCGATGAAAGGTGTACACGCATCACTACGAACCTTCGATGTTTGCGTATTTATAAGTGTCAGACTATTTTAGCTTAAGGTTTTTATCTCTTGAATGCAACCATTTCTCTCGATAATTAAGTGTTTAGTAAGCGCATAAGAAAGCGCCTTTACAAGCCTCTCAACAAATTACGTTTCTTCGAGCATTCTGCATCCGCCATAAATTGCCACGTTGCTCAGTTTTCATACATTATTGAGCGTATAAAGACGAAAGTTCTGGGATATTTATCGTTTCCTCAGTCACCATGTGGCGTATTTCAGGCGCGCACGTCAAAGAGAGAACGACGGAAAAGTCGACGGTTGCATATATATGAGCAGCTTACAAGTATGACAGTGGGTCAAGTTCGCGAGAAACTGGTGAATGCCCTCATCGAGAGTTTATGACGTATACGCGCGAATCTCGTGCTTATATGCACAAAGTACGTAATCAAGATGTCTGTTGAGTTTTACGAAAAGTAAACGTAATTAATGGTACTGTTATCGTTCTGTTATTTGAAAATTCGTTGAATATTTAATTGGAATAATGGTGTAGCAAATAAAATTTATTTATAAACGCAGTGACCAGTTGAAATTTGTTAAAAGTATGAAGGCTGGTTAGATATCAGCATACAATGTTAACCGAGCAGAAACCTCAAATAAATTTCGTGCAATTTACAAAGTCTCAACAACTGTTAGTTTTTAAAGCGTTTAAATGACTTCGAACGCAATGGGAAATAAGCCCATTTAGCCTCGACTTAACAATGAAAGCATATTCAAGTGAATCGACAATTTTATGTTTTCGAAGAAATGTGACTCTTTATTTTTCATTTATTTATTTATTTTTTTTATTATTATTTACTTAGTAAAATAATCGAATCATATTGCATTCTAAGTGAAATTACTCTTATACAGCTTGAAATTCTTATTTTGCAATTCAATTTAAGATATTCGTTAAAAGAATACTTCATTTTCTTTTTCAAAGTTCTTGTATTTAAAATTTTGTTAAATTTACGAGTCTTCATAATCATTTATAAAATCAAATGCAGCATTAAAATCTTGAAAAGTTACGATTTTACGCAAGCGAAATTTGCATTTAAATTAAAAAAAAAACAACTGTGGATATAATTTTGGTTGAGAATAAATAAAATATGTTTTCAACGCTATCGCACTTCACTGACCCACGTAGAAAGATGATGCAGAAGAAAGTCGAATCATTAAAGTCTAGTAATTAGAAACCAATAAGAAGCAATAAACTCGCCGATAAGTTATTTGTAAGCCGATCTACGTTACAGCAGTAATTTAATGAACATAAAATTCCAAAACGCACGAAGAAGCTTTCTCAAGCTCTTTGTCAATTAAGGCGGATTGAGATGCTTAACATAAAGTAGCATGCTTTTATTCACAGATTTCTTAATTCAAGCGTGACTGAATAGCTCTTCCCTAGTTTTACCTAAATCAGTTATAATTTCAAGTTAACGGTGTACCTGTATCGTAAATTTCTCTCATCTTCTTTACTCTCTCGCGAAATTTTGACGCACACTCTCTCTATCTCTCTTTCTCCTCCTCTTTCTCTCGCCGATAACAACAACAGCAGCTGTCAAACGCTGCTAGAAATTGATTTCGAAACCGCGAAATGTGCTTTGATGGATATTTCTCTGTTGTGCTGCACTTTCGCTCATTTAAGAGGAAGGATGTTAACGAACTAGGTTAACCATCAAAAATAGCTATGAATGTTGCTCTCGCGTGTTAGATAGATGCGATTGTTAGTGTAAAATGAAGCGAGTAATGTATTATACATAGAATCCAATTAACCATCCGTTAAAGTTTAGAAAAGCATAGAGAAAATAGGAAAAGCTATCTTTATCGCAAGGTATATATGCATCTTAAAAAACCATTTTTCTGGAATGAAATATGTATGATGTGTATTATGATCTACTTACGGAACACTAAATAAATAGAGTTGCTAACTTGCTTTCGTTTCTCTTATGATATATTATATATTGCCTCTGCACACCTCAGTTAACTCAATTTATTTAAGACAAACTGAAATTCTCGATCGAGATACATTTTATAAATATTTATGTAATCGTAGTGATTCCATGTCAATATATTAGGAATTAAAGTCTGATATGGAATCTCCAATCTTATTTTATATCTTGGTTACAATTTTAAGTCGATACAAAAAGATTTAAACAGTTAGCGTAAATATTATATTCAATCCAAACAGTTTTGATCTGGTTAAAAAATAATAATAAAACATCAAATGATTTTCAGAAATATGGAAGTATATTATTAGAAAAAATATACGAATAATTACTTAACGCATCGAAGAGAATCAATGATCGTGGGAAATCACGGTATATATCTACTACGGTAAAAGTAGACCGTAATGATCAGTACAAGTGGCTTTATTGTATTGAAAGACCAATTTGAATTAATAAGATACTACTCAATTAGTTGCACATTTCAGCAGTCACCACTATTATAACCGTAGAATACGCACGATGCTATGCAATTTATTATTTGGAGAATGAACTCTACGGCAATTGCGGTGAAACCATTTCCCAATCAGTTATTTTACGCGCAGCTCTCATTGAAGTTATGCATCCTATCTACACGGAATCCGGCGGCAATTGAAAACAATTGACATTTATCGCAAACTGCTTATTGTGTACGAAACGATCCCCGCGTCTAGTTAGTTTTCATTTAATTTCATCGCGTCCTTGAAAATTTATGTGTCATTAAAACCTTTGCAAAAGCAATATACGACTATCGCATTTCGCACGCATTTTGCCTAATCTATTGCACAGCCGATCGTGCGCTCGAGCACGTGGCAGATATTCAATTGAGTCAATTGTCAATTCTATTTTTAACGATACTTCGTACAACAACCAATTTATCTGCTTTTGTTTTTCTCTCTCATGCTTTCTTCCGCTTTGCTCACTATGTATCGTCATATCGTTTTTTATTGATTAACACACGCAGAAGAAAAGTCGTGAGAAAATTTGACTGACGGTTGTACAAATCATTTGTTAACGTGATTGCGGAATTGGCTCGGGCGCTCGTAAATTTCAGGCAGAATAGCACCGTGAAACTTGCGGGCACGTTTCGAGTTAGGAAACGGTTCCTTTTTACAATCACGAAAATGCGAATAAGAAACACGATTTGTACCAATTCTACTGTAATTACCTGTTGCGCCACTTCGCACTTGTGTTCGATTCAAACAACTGGTTTCTTAATATCAGCTGGCAATTTAAAACTTTCGCATAAAATGAATTATTCATCGTTGAATGTAATGACATTTGTATTTTTAAATGAACAGTCATTAAATGATTTCTACAATGACATTACACATATGTAGCATCATCAAAGCAATTAACGAAGGTTTTTGATATTCAACTATCTAGATATAATTGAAAAGACTAAGTGGTTGGTGTATACGCGTGCATCATTGCCAGACACGTCTGTCTCGTGCACTTTCTTTTTCGCAGAGAAATGGCCGGAACGATCGCGAACGCTCTGAGAGTCTAAGCTGCCTCAAGAACGGCCAATTTCTTTCATAGAAATTTTTTTTCTACGTCAGTCTCTTTCTATTTTCCACTCCCTCGCTCTAATTTGCAAGTACTCACGAGCGACACTTTCCAAAACTCGTTTAACGACTGTTTTTGTGATCACTAGATCGGTTCGTTCATTGTTCATTGTTTGCTCGTGTATTTCCTCGTGGTCTAGAATTACGGTGTATCTGGTCTATAAAATTCACTTGTTAGAAAGCGCAAATCTCTTTATTTTTGTATTCTTCGCGTGAAAATTGATTGCTTTATTAACAGTACCGGATCAATAAGCATGGATGATTTTATTACAATTAAAATTGCGTTTTTATTTTATATTTTTTTTATAATTAGAACTTGATTAGAAAAATACTAGTACTCGACGGCATCGGAACAGAACTGAATTTTTGTATTTAAAAATAATATTGTGCAATATGAAAAGTCTCAATTCTCATTTTCATTGAGTAAATGACATGCATTAAATTATTATTTTCCATAACATATTGATAATGTTGGATACATTTTTTCACATTGCGATTAGATCGCAAGTTTTTTATATTTCATCCAGAGCATTCCTTCATATCTTTTTAATTGTAATATAAAATGTAATACAATTATATAAAGCAATAACTAAAATCGATTATTAAATCAGTGAAAAAACAGTGAACCAATGAATTTTTGAAGTTGATGGCTGAGCTCCCTAAACGAAAGAATCTAATTACGTTGCATTTAAAAATAATATGCTATGCCAAACTATTAAGAGATTTTCACCAATGTAAGTGCAAAGATTAATGATACCTGTTATGAGTGTTGAAAGCTTCTTCAATTTTCTGTCAGCACTTGAACTCTTTATGATAACTCGAAAATCATAATTTTCCAAAGCAAGCGTAAACCCGATGAAAATATAGCACAGTTTCCTAACTTTCCGTAAAATATCTCATGAATATATCTTTTTCTTTTTCGTATCATAAACTTTCACATTATGAATAAGAACCAAATCAAATAATAACTTTTATATGAAGTCCAAAGCTTATTGCTGAAATAAGCTCTCATATTAGGTATCAATCGAAATGAATTGTTAATAATTCGTGTATCAACTGGCGGATTAGGTGAGGCATTGACAAAAAGAAGATATATGTAGAACTTGCCAATTACTTACATGGTACGCGAAGTTTTTCCTTGGCGCTCATGATGCGGTTGGCAGTGGTTGAAGTCAGTCCGTTACTCTTTGTCTTGCCGACGTTGTTGTCCGTAAGACTCGGTGGCGATATTATTGATATACCGCCTCCCTGCTCCATTTTTATTGCTATCTGTTATCAATTCGTTTGCGATTAAATAATTGGTTTATCGACAAATTTTTGTATGTTGAGTTACATCTATTTCGTGCGTACTTTTTATTCTACTGTGATTAATGAGCCAATGTCCAAATTGAGATTTACAATATCTGTTTACAGTACAAATATTTTATCGCTCTATGATGAATTTTCAACTTTCTATATGGTTGACACTACAAGAGTCAACGTTCAATGTGAAAAAAAAGTTGACAGAAGTATTCCAGCCGTATCCACATTTGATAAGGATAATTATTCATTGCTAGAGTATAAATAGATTCTTATGACATCACATGCTCCAATTGCGGTACGCATGTACAATACTTATTACATTACTGATAATCATTAGAACTTTAATTAGATTTTCATTTTATAAAAAAATCATGTTTTTCTTTATTTTAATGATCATTTTTTAAAATATTTTCAGTTATATCAACTTGTCAAAATAAATCTGATTTTAATAGTGTCTTTATTAACTAATTTATAAATGTCTCTTATTGTAAACTTAAAAGAAACAGTGTAAATGTCATTAACACGATTTTTTATTACATTAGTGAGGCGAATTTATTACTATGATATACAAATAATTCATTCAAAAGCTTATCTAAAAGATAATATAAGCTTTCTATAATGTCACAGTTCTATCTACATGAAAAAATTAATTTTTGATTTGAGGAAAATGCTTGGAAATAACTTTTTAGAAAAACAAATTGTTCGCTCAATTGCTAGTCAGCACGAAAACCCGCGCGCAATCAAAAGCATTTTAAGGTCACGCATGATTTTTCAGCAATTCATCATCATAAAATGCAAGGTAGCCAAGATAACGGAAATAAAAGTCCAAATATGAATTTGACGTACGCAACACGAGAAAACACAAGCAAACGATTAGAGCTTTTATGAGAGCACTCATACTTTTATTGCATTTAAAAATGATTTATACAACCCCTATATCAGTTCATCTCAATTGAATCGTATCTTTGCTTTGATTAATAACTCGTAAATCAAAGTCACATCTAAATGCTTAACTATAAATTTTCTATCGCATTATAAAAAGCGCTATGTAAAAATATAAGTCGTGTACATACCTGCAAAACACACTTATTCGTTCGAAGGCATTCAAAAGCACTAGCTGTGATAAAACGGTATTCCGTCCAACTGCACTGAAGTCGAACGATAGAATGCACTGAAAAATGAATCCGATTGTACGATGCAAATGACAAGATAAAAGAAACGCAAGACAAGGAAACAGCTATGCATGCGTGCGTGCGTGTCGTCCTGCGTACGTTAGCGTCGCCGGCAAAATATGGTTATATCACTTAGGGATCTGTTTGTATGTATAGAGGTGTAGGTGAATGTGGCGCGTGGACGAAAGGCAGACTGAATCGGTTTGAAACCCGCTCACCTCTATAAGTATACTCGCAGTCGGGGAGAGCCTCTCCACTCTCTGCCAACTTTTGAGCATTCGAATGTGCCACCAGCTTCGTCTTCTTCTTCTGCTTCTTCGTCTACTTCGCACGCGTACAGAAGCGGCGGCACGTGACGTATATGCATTATAGACAACGTACACAACTCGCTGCTGTAGCTGTGTGTGTATGTATACCAACGGGAATACACTTCGCCTTGGAAGTTTGTCAGCAGATCGGCATTTTAGATCTTTCAAGTCGGTTCATACGGAACTATAGCCTTTTGCAGATGTATACTCATTATGTTTTGCAATCACGCGATGTTTCCTTTTTTTAACTGATTCTCTTATCTCTATTTAAGGTTCGTCAGTAAAAGTGATTTAGCTCATGAAACAAAGTTAAACTTTCATTATACAAAGAATACGTATGACAAGTCTAATGGAAAAAGTGCCATTTGCAGCATTCTTGATTCATTCGACGGTAATCTGTAAACTTGTGATTTCTTTATGTTATTTCTTTTCAAATCTACAGTGAATCCTTATTTATATACTAATTTTGACGATATACTTAAACTTTATAAAATTTACTATCTGCAAAAAATCTATTATTAATTATCAACAGTAATATTTATAAAAGATTATATTTTGTTAATCAGATTATCATGTTACCTTACCGTGTTTACTTTCATTGTTCCGTCATGCGAAAGGTACGACTATTGGACGCATAAATCTCAGAAGAAAAATGAGGAAAGCAAGAGAATTTTTTCTTTTGTATTTTATAGAATCTTCGGAACACGGAATATGCCGATAAGGTAAGTCATGATTAATGACACTGATAAATCAATTACTAGTGAAAGGGGTTAAAAAAAGTAACTGAGTAATGTAAAACTATCCATCAATTGCTTTTTTCAAATCTTTCTACACAACTACCAATGTTATTTCTTCTGAAATGGATTCTTAATCTTCCATGACATTAGCATATAAATTTAGCGCATTGCAATTTAACATCCCGACAGAGATGCTTATAAATCCATAGTATTTTCTATGTAGAGTGAATATATAAGAATAGAAATTAATAAAAAAGTCACGTAAAATTTTTAAGTAATTGTATGTTTCGAACCAGATCTTACAATAATAGATAATTTAATATCTTGAAAAGCAATGCAAATAAATAAAAATATAAATCACATTTATATCATAGTTGATGTAACTTTTTTAAATGCTAGTTTCAAAAGCTTGTTAAATAAGAAATATTTTATATCAAAATAATAATAATTTTAAATTTCACTTTCAACCGTAAAAAAGAACGGTATAAAACCGGATTATCATTCCTTTAAATAGTTAATCCTAAGTACGTATTCAGGAAAGTTTTTCAAAAAGATTAATAAATTTTCATCGAACATTGATCTTTAAAAAAAAAAACAATGACATTACATTCGAAAAAGTATTTCCAATAAATATATAAACAAGTGATTTTGAGTTAACAGGTCATTTGCACGAAAGTAGAACAAGATTGGAGCTCCGCGAATAGAATAGTTACTATGATCGGGGTCAAGTCGTCTCGGTCGCGTAGAGCGGCGTGCACCTATTTTGCGCACGCGGCGGCGCCGCAAAAAAAGAAGACGACTAACCGAGAAGTCGCACTCAATTGCGTGCGACTTCTTTTTACGCTTAAATGCCTAATTTGTGACCTCCATGACGATTTAAATTAAATTTCACGCTGAGTCGTTAGATGTGCTTCCTGCTAATAAGACAAAATCGAGCGCACGAAACTTTCTATCGGTTCGTTTCGATGGAAAATCTCGAGAAAAGTAAAGATGAGGTTATTTTTGAGAATTCGCATTACTTTTAAGCGATTAATCTCGATGATTTCTGTTCGACAGGGCACATTATCACCGTTTCATGTTTTCTTTGGTTGGAGACGTTCAAGTATTTTTAAGATTGCTCTAGATTAGACTATGTTTTTCTATTGCCAATCCATATCATTATAAGTAATAAATGATTCTTTATCAAAGAATATCGCAGATCATGAAGTAATGAGGTGTATTTGTATTCAAAGATCGTTATGATAATCGCAATCAGACGTCATTTATAGTTTAGATTCGATTGAGATTTGAAAAAGTTTTATGATGATTTTTTCAGCAAATATCAGCATTTTCACAATTAAGCATTTTTTAAATTAAATGTTTTATAGATACGCAACATTCTATTAGCAAGTGACTGTATATTTGAAAACTAACATAAAATTCTATGCGTTTCAATTGAAAAAGAGTATGCCTAAGGCATTGCCTTAATATCTAATTAAGTTAGTAGAGCAGAGATTTAAAAGAGCGATGATTATCTCCTTCGTTATACCTACATCGGTTAATATTAACACGTCACGTGCATGTGATTTTACATCTGTGTAAACGTTGCAAATCCACAGCTACTTTATAAAATCAATGGCCTGCCTCTTCTTCGCGAGCGAGATAACGTAATCAAAAGTATCCAAAAGCGATTCTTATCTTGATATATACCTTAAGAAACTTCAGCGTTATATATAGATGCTTACAAGATCGGCTTGTTTTCCACACGAAACATTTCCATCTTCGTTTCGTACGCAAATCAACCAAGCGTGTGTAAGGCTTTTATAAGTAAAAGAGAAATGGTATAAGCCAATGATGATAAGATTCAATTAGCAGCGCCCGACTTCAGCGTATATATAATTCGACGCATACACAAAAAAGAAGAAGAATATTGTCAGAGCTGACATGCAAATTTAATGTTATTTACATACGCGCTCACTCTTATTTGCTTTTCGGTCTTACAATTTTGTTAGCAAACTAAGACACGATTTGTTTGGTTAGATAATGGCGATTATAATATTTTTTTACTCTTCTTTTTGTCACTCTAGTTCTCATTGTACTTGGAACATCTTTCAACTAAAATCATTTGAATTTGTTAAAATAAATTATTTTTTAGCTCATGTATAAAATGAGATATCATTTTGAGAATAATAATAGGCAATATTGACTAGATCCATTTATATAATAACATTTTTCAAACACTTTATTCGTTTAAAATTATAAAGAACAATAATTTTTAGTTTACAACATATTTACATTTATTAATCGAACTATGACAAAAAAAATCTATTGTTTCTATTTCAAATAAACATGTTATATATGAATGTAATATTTACTTGCACTATATAATTTATGTTCTATTACATTTCAACAAAATTATCGATACTGATCTTTGACAAATTTACATCAAACCGTTGTTCACGTATGTCAAATATGTAACTTCAAAATTAATTAAACTATATCGTTATAAAATTAGTGTACAGTTTGAGTTTCATAATACCAATCGCAATGTTGTGGTATTGATTATATTTTTCACGCAATTTATCTTTTCAACATTGTAGTATCAATTAAAATATAACTCTTTCACTTTCAAAAGACTTTTTTACGTCTAGTCAATTAACTCGCACGAATCTTTAAAAGCACATTTGAATATTCAACGGTAGTTCAGATGATCGCAAAGTTTGAAAAAGCAAAAATGTCGACACGATGCTCTTACCTGATGGCTAAAACATTATGAAAAAAAAACATAGTAATATCTAATAAAATTTGTTTAGTTCATCCGCACGCGTGTATGTTATAATATTTTACCGCTACCACATAGATCTTTCAGGATTTATCTCCGACATTTTTACGAGCGAGCGAAAAAATTTCGTAGAAAACACAAAGTAAGATACACGCAACCAATTATTACTCTCGCAAAAAGTAATTTGTTAACGGGTAATTTTCCCCAATTGGTAGACAAGTCGACTGTATAGACAAGTACTGTTTATTTATGATCATACACGTTGCAGATTCCAACAACGCGTAATAGTTAGCGAGGTGTCCCAGGTCCCCCGACAATGCGTCTTTTAAGGAGTGGGAAAATAGCTGCATTTACTTGAACAAAATTACGCTTAACTACTTCCTGTTTGACTATCGGCGAGAAATGAGGATTTGCTCTGCCCTATCCTGCATTCGCTTAGGCGCGTTATTTTCCGATTGGGAAATTTCGTGCCACAAACACAAACACTAGCGAAGATGGTGCAAGCGCAAACAGCTCAAAAGTATGCCTTTTCGACAATGGTTCGGCGCATTCTTTCCGCATTTATGCTTGCTATTGAGAAACTATTGTTTTCGACAAATGACGTCTCTGGTCTTAAATTTGAGTTTTCGACAGGTTAGCATTGCCAAATGGACAACAATCCAGAAACAAATCATTTTTACATTGCTTGCAAAGGCAATTTTTGAAAACCATTTTTTTTTCAATCCGAAAAGTAATTATTTTAATTATACAGATTTGAAATCCAGCTAATTGATAATTTGTTTGGCCTAACGATTGACGTCCTCAAATAGAACGCAGACAAGTAAGTAAACATCCATCAAACAAATGGATAAAAAGATTCATGCAAAAATCAGACTGGCTTGCAATCCAGCATTTCCATTGTTCAAACGCATTAAGCCACTAAAAGCCGACTTTTCAGTCAGCACTCTTGTAGCGCGGTCGCACGCAAGAGAAGAGAAAAAGTCTGGAATTCCGTGGCAGTAGCTCAACAGCCGCATTTCAGCGGTCGATCTTTTGTCGCGGTTTTTTTAGCAAGAGAACAATTCTTTTCGACTACGTATTGTGTATCGACGCGTCGCAGCTAATACAGCATCATAATAGAGTGAAGTAACCGTGAGTTGGTGGGAAAGGTGGCTATTACTTAACCGCCATTAGCATAGCGATGAGGCGACTCGTCTAGACGAGTCACCTCGGCGATAACGGAACTTCCCACCCTCTTTGAAGCCGCTCGCGCGCGGCCTGCTATTTGCATGAGTTTTCTACGATGATGGTAAGGGCACCGCGCCTTCGCACTCACAGAGAGCTTTTAACTTCACTTGAATTTCGCATCTGCTAACTGGAAGGTATTTATAGGCTATGTGCTCCGATGGATAATACAGTTCACAAAAAATGACTCGTTCTAGTCATAAAAAAATCGCTTCGGCCTCGCTTTCCTATTATTCTACGATGGTGGCTTCACAAAGGTCTTTATGCTCGCGCATTACGTCCGAGTGTTCTCTGGAGCAATCTCGCGACTTTTTTTTACAGCGGCATTAGGTGAGCCAGGTAAATGAAATAGCAATCTTAAAGTATTCCCAAAAGTAAACATTTATTGGCAATGAGGAAGCATTAAAAAAAACTACGACCATGCGTGCCACGAAGGAAAAATCTGTTATGAAGATCCAGCGCCTCATCAGATAAACGCGATAGCTGCTGGTATAGAAAACTGGCGTAATCCGCCTCGCAGATATCGAATCTTTCCGTTCGCTTTCTCGCATCCGCGCGACCTGTTGCAGTTGAGCGCTCGCAACGCCAAAGCGATGATCGTTCTCGCGGTGCGGCTTCCGCCGATCAGGACAGATTTTGAGCAAAGGTGCGACGACGTCTACGACATTGCGCAATGGAATTTACATAAACGACATTGCCGTGTCGGCGAGCAAGCGAGTTCAACGCTATGGGTATCTTTCGGCAAGTATAGCGATATGATCCGGTAATAACTAGTTGTTGAATATCTTCATACTTTTGTTAAATATTAAATTAATTAGATTATAATCTTATTTGAATAAAGATAATCTTCGACAGTTTCAGATGGAGCATTGAATTTATGTTTCACGTTAAAATTAACGGGCTGCTTATTTTCTTCATCGTGACAAATTTATTTTACAAGACATTTGTTCACGTACGATTAAAATCAAATAAGAGAATTGCGGTAAAAAAGGAAGCATGAAGTATTCCAAGGAAGGATTCAATAAACTTTCTTCTTAAAGAGAATAGCGTCGGTCATCATAAAAGAACAAGTATCCCGAATAAATTGCATAGAGTTAGTTTTGAAATTCATGGCGGTACATTAATTTTTATTAGCAATATTATATGGTTAAACAAGTTTACATTTCTATTGTAATAAAGTTGGAGCAACCACAATAGAGTTTTATAGTTGGCGTGTGCATAAAAACTTTACTCACTTCCACATCAAAACAATAAAACAAAAGACTGCATTTGCTGTTTAAGATTTTATGGTTTTGAAGGGCTTTCAAGTTTGTATGTCTATTTAACATTCATTCAATGAAGTTGTAAACAAATGCCATAACTCGTTTTTCCATTTTAAACTTGTATTTCGATGGCTTTATATAACGTGATCAATATATACATTGAAAATAAGCTTCTTAAGCAGTGTACACGAGCATGAAAAAATGCGTTAACGTCCATTGAAAAGTAATAAACTCAGCGTCAATCAATCTTGCACAGTGTTAAAAAATCACTGTGATCTAATTCAATATTCAATAACCCGAAGCGCATCTCCGTGTGAATTAATGTGCAGGTACAAGCTCCAACGACTGTGCCAGCGGCGACGCGTTCATGATTCGGGTAACTGGACTGCGACGTACGCTATGCAGCACGCTCGATTTGCAGTGCTGGATATAGCCAGGGGAACTGGTTCATTACGGAGAGCATTACGCGCAAGATTAGAGCGCGTGGCTTCCTGGCACATCTCAAAGCCAAGTCCTAGTTACGACGATTCACTTGTGCTTTCTTGCGCGCTGCCGACGCGCCGCGCCAGCGAGGGTCTACTTTCACGTGCCGCCGCCACTAGTCGAGATTCGCTCGGCGCCGTTTTGCAAACGAGGCGTGCTCAATTTACTTTTAGAGCGCATAATTACGTTTCATTGTTTGCAAAGTCTTGTAGGTGCAATGTCTCAAACTACCTAAACGAGTAAAGTTCTAGGGCTTAATGGCTAAGATTGCTTTATCCCACGGTTTTTTGCAATCACATTTCAATTTGCAAGATGCACTTGAATTTAACTTTATCGTTAAATTTCATCAAATGTTCTACTTTTCATATTTTTTCTGTAATATCAGTTATAACTGAATACTTTGAACCGATATTGGAAAACTTTATATGACGTATTGTGTAAGAAAAACGCTATTTATTTTCAATTTCGTTATTTTCTTATTTTCAAAATTTTTGACTATGTTTCAATGGTTTGAGACATTACTTTAATACTGTGCCATCAAGAAAACTTTAAAGTCATTTATTTTTGAAGTTTAACAATATACAATTTTAAAAGTTATAGCAAACATTAATTTATCTAATTTTCTATAATTTTTCATTTCTACTATTTAGGTAGATTAGTAAAAAAGTAACATGTGAGAAAACTTATTTATAAATCGACAAATATACATATGAATACGTAAATAATTAATGGAAGACAAAAGGGAAAGTACTATTGTTTGTCTTCTCCAATGAAGATTATAAAAAATGGGTGGCTTAAAAAAATTACAATTTTACTCGAATGGCTGATGAATATTAAAATGCAAGATGTCGACAATTAATAACAACCACCAGCAATAAACCTACAGAAAATACCAATATTAGTTACACTTTATAAGGTTAGTAGAACTATGTCATAACGGTAAAACATCATTTATTATGAAGAATTGAAGATCGCAAGTGGATAGTGAATTTTTCATGGTACCACAGTAGGTGGAATCTCTGAAACCATAAAATTAAAAAATTCAAGGTTGAAACTCACTTATATAAATCAATTCTAATATCCCTACTAAAATAATGCTAAAAAAAAGTTTAAGCTATTTTATGAAAAAAGCAGATTTTGGAACATTTTCAAATACAAATATTCCATGTAATGTGACGGTAAAAAATTAATGTTTACCCGATGGCTTCAAAGATACAAAAACGAATAGATTTTTTGATAAATTTCGTAATAAATTTATTATAGATGAAATTACAAATATTTTATACTGTATGGAAATTCACGTAAAAAATCAAATTAAAATTTGCAAATTTACTTGGTATTCAATTGTTCACGGCTATACGAGTAATGTAATCTTTTTATGTAACATAAAAGCGCTGTTACTTTTCTGATAACAATTTCTATTCAATGAAATACGTATGTAAACATTGACGGTCATGAGGTTGAGATACACTGTTACGGAAAGAAATTCGTGATCATATAGTTTAGTACTTTATCTAACGACTGTGGAAAAGTCTATTCTTGTCTAGTGTGAGAGTTACATACGAGCGAAGAAGGGTGGAAAAGCGCACGAGATAAAAATCTCTTTTTCGAGCATATTAATTGCAGATATTTTTCAAAGCAACATTTGGAAAGCTCGAACTTGGGCGTACATTTTTCGCCGAGCTTGCAGAAAAGTCGAACTTTCCGCTCGGCGTGTTAAAATGATTTGTTCGGAAATCGTAGAGTTGAAAAATTTTGCGATTCTGAGATCTTGAACTGTCCATTTTTTTAGATTTACTCGTATACAGCAGGTACCGGCCAAAAGATTACTTTATTCACTATTCTCATCCAGTTTTTATGGTTAAGCTGGAGATAACACGACCAATCAAAATACGAGCGACTGTTGCACTTTGCAGAAAGCTTGTTCTTTTTCGCCAATGTATAGAAAAGCCTAGTTAGTGATTCAAATAATCGAGTTCCAATTTAATTAATATAATACATTTATATATATGAGCTAATCCCCGAAAATTTTGAAATTTGATATTAAAAAAAAAATTTTTTTTTTTTCAAAGCACAGCTTCCAGGATCTTTTTTTCTCTTTTAGTTAGATTTAAATAACATGAAAAAATACAAGCTCATGTTTTTTTCAGAATCTTTTTTTCACAAAACAGCATAATTGACGGAGACTGGAAATTTTGTAGGTGTCGAAAAAAAAATACATTAAATAATAATAATTCTGCCGCTTTTGCCTTTCTATATCTCTCTTGGCATTCACTTTGTCACGTTTCAATTGTTTATTTTTTTCTTTGGTACTAATATCATCCATTCTGAAAAAAATTACGAGCAACTGCTGTGCTCATATCACATACTTACTGCCCGAGAGTCAGGACGACACTGAATTTTTCGCGCGACTTTCAGTGTTTGCTTACATATTTCAGTAGACGCACAATTCGCTCTATCTGTTTTGAAAGCGAAATGAGAGTTATAGGTATAATGAGCTTATACATGAATTCATTCATTATATCATATCGATGTTAGACTTTTATAATTTTTATAATTGCATCTTACCAGTCAACGCAATGTATATGCAACTTAAGCACGGTTTAAATATCATGTAAAAACAATAAATATAAATTGGCTTTGGGTTATATATCAATCTGAAAGGTATTTTTATTGTGCCAATAAAAAATGTCTTTTTTCAACATGAGCGGCGCACCGACTACGCCAACTACTAAAGTGTTCAACTCGGATAATTTACAAGGCACAAGCATAACAAAAATAGATTTAGATTAGTAATTTAGAGTAGAACACACTCTAAGTATTTATGTATGAGTTCCAACAAACTTATTTGCAAAAAAAAATAAAGTCTACGAAGTTTTCGATTTTTTTATAAAGTGAATTTCACTTACATTTGAATTTTTTATTTTGTGTCTAATAGAAGCACATGCATGAGACCGATTTTATTACAATAATATGGTGAAGATTAACTTACAAAAAAATTTTGAAGCAATTTGTTCAAGACTTTTTTTTTACAATACAAAGAATCAAATTTTCTATAGCGAGTAACACATTAAATTGTTGCACAAACGATACAATTTCGATTTATAGCTTTATATCTATAATTGATGGCCTAAAATAAATTAATCGAGGTTGTTAGTCATCATTTTTTGAACAAAAAACCTTTTTTCAAATTTCGAATTCCTCTTAGTATAGCCCGAATATCATGGAGTAACTTAAATTTTTAAAGTTTTAGGGATTTGCTCATATACATATGCGATTGCGTGATATAACATAATGACGCGGGTACATAGTTCTCAATGCGCACGGCGCGCTCGATATTTATGATCTCGTTAAGATGCTAATATTATATAATAATCATTCAACGGAAATTAGTACACACGATCATTATTTACATTCTACTTTATTTTTATAGAAAAATGATCGAATACATTATTGTTGCAATTTTTTTGAACAAAATTTTATTTATCACTTCTAATTATAAACAATAAAAATATAGTATTATACAATGAAAAGGACTTTTTCGTTTCAACTAATAAAACGATAATTCTACAATTATAACTACCGGGTTCAGGTATTTTATTACTTTAATGATCAAATTTTTACCCCACAGCCAGCAAGTTATGGGATAAAAATTAGCAATTGTTCAAACGATAATTGATGTGCCATCGAAATCACATCCAATACATCAAAATAATTGCATGTTATTTTGTAAATTTGCAGAAAAATTCGACCAGATTAATTTATTCACTTTCATTCATGTAGAAGAAATAGATAACTGGTCCAACGACAAGCGTCACCTGTGACCATTCGATTTACGTGAATACACATTTGTATGATGTATACATTATGTAACTTTGTTCTTTGAACAATGCATATAAAAAAAATAGATAACTCTTTCTAATGCAAGATTTGGCAAACAAGGTAGCAATACTTCGTAGAGAAGTTCCTCTATGTCGCTCAATTGACATCTACGCTTTTCAGCATTCTCCAATAAAAAGACCATGTCGTCGTAATAATTTAGGAATTCTAATTTTGTTAGCCTATTTATATAGTTGTTCATAAATATGGTACTTCTAATCATGAAGGACAGTTCATCCTCGCTCATTGAAAAAATAGAAAAAAAGGAAATGCCACGAATAATGTTTGCCTTTTCCATCTTTTCCAATTCGTTCAAGCACTGATTATAGTATTCATGCATTTTAGAGGAACTCATCACAAGCTGCAAATCTCTTTTATTAACTGTCGTTCCTTTTAGCGTTAAAAGCGCGAAATGCTTTATGAACAACTGGTGCGTTTCGGTGAGATCTTCAATGAAGCTGATTATAGAAAACGCAGTTCGTCTCCGACTATCGACGAGATTGACGTCAGCTCCGTAGCGCAATAATAGCCGAATATTTTCTACAAGTCCCTTTTCACATGCGCCATGAATAGCATAACCCCCGTCATATATCGAAAGCGATGTTGGAAAATTGACTTTCGCACCAGCGCGGATCAGATATTCGGCAATATCTGTTCTAAGTAATTGTGATGCTGCAGATAATGGTAACTCAAATGCCAATTGGGTGTTAATCATATAGTTAAATGTCGACATTTCGTAAGATCCTTGTATAGGTGGTACACGTGCGTTCACGTCAAAGCCGTATTTTATAAGTAATTTCACCTGTGAATATCAATTAAAAACTATTTAAGTATATGTCTCAACGTAATTTCAGTAAAAGCCAAGTGTTTCATGAGACTTACCATTTCAAATTTTTCCATGCGTATAGCACGTATGAGCGTACGGCCTTTTCGATCTATTTGTGCGGCTGGTAAGTTAAATTTTAAAAGTATCTCGACAAGTGGTAGTACGTTACTCTCAGCATAATCTACACCGCCACAGCGTAGTAGTAACTCTTCGACCCGCTCGGTCCTCGATCCCTCGTGGAGGAATACACAGACGAGCAAATTCACTAACTCTTTTGGTGCAAAATACTGAGAGGCTCTCATGATGGAAGTACCCGTTAATTGTACTCCTTTTCTCAGAAGTTCCTTGATCAAGCTAACCGGACATCCTGCCTCAATGGCTTGCTGAAGAACTGTTACTCCGTGGCCGTCACGAGCATTCACATCAGCACCACGTTCGATCATTTCCACGGCCAGTCGATGATGCCGTGCATGTTTACTTTTCACGAGCTCGTGAAGGAAACTCGAACAGCCGGCGGCTGTCGGTCCCTTTACAGTGAGATCTGCGCCCGAAGCGACCAACATCGACGCAATTTTCCCATCATCTTTCAACACTGCATCCCAAAGTATCCTGCCGCCATCGCTACAATTTAGCTGAGGTTTTCGCTTAAGAAGATAAGTCACCCTGTCTCGGTCTCCTGATTCAACTGCCTTTTTTAACCGTGTAAGGGTATTTTTTTGTTCACTTCCCAAGTCACTTGATTGCTTTTTAACTGGTATTGCATTGCAAAAACCTGGACAGGTGGAAAACCATCCGCTGATGCATCCACCCATATTGACCTAATAGGTATACGTAGCAAGGAAAAAAGCGAATTCTTATAAAATTTGTTAATGCATCTAATAAATATCTATGATTGAACTTACCAATAGCAAATCAAGGATGCAATTACTTCGTCAATACATTCTTTTCATAAAGTATGGCAAAACAAATGTTGTCCGCGAATTAAAAAAATGTAAAAATTTCGATGAGAGCTAAAAATAGCATAACAACGGGCACGCAGAGCCGATATATCAGATACACGCACGCACACACACATATTTCTCGCTACGCGAGCCACTATTACGACTAATACTTAATCCGAGTATGAAATCGTGATGCAGATTGATCCTCTTAAGAAGCTATTAAGATGTAATACAACATTGTAATCCATTTAACACGAGTAAATAGTGAAACGCTGCCATAAATCAAGAATATTATTTAGTAAAGGGTAAATTGATCATCGCAAGTTTCCAAGAAAAGAAAGAGTTTAAGAACCTGCATTGTTTAAAAATAAGCATTTCATATAAGTATTCAATATTCTAGCATGATAATACGTAACAAAGGCCAATACTGTTTCTTTATCTACCTTACTTAAGAATAAAAGTCTAAATGAAAATTTGAATCTGTAATTGATTATCTTACAATTATCATTTTTCATTACAGAATACTAATATGCTTCTCATTTACACAGTAATATCTGTATAGTTATGATCTTCAAACCTGTGCCAAATAAGTTGTATTCTGTACGAACAATGGCATCGCTTATAGAGCCTGACTTGCAACTCACTACCGCAGACATGAGCTGGAAAGAAAGGGATTACGTTTCAGTTAGTTCTGAGGCTAATATCAATCCAAACGCCTATATTGTTCTTCTTACAACTATTAAAAATTTGAAAACTGTCCAATAAGCTCTAGAGCAAAATCTTGATAGAGTAAAAATATTCCTTGAAAAAATAGGTCTCGCCTTGTCTCTTCAAAAACATTTTTTTTATGTATACCAAAGTAATGACGCAAAAAAAATTTTTTAATATTTAATACTCAGCTTCTGTATAAGTCTAGATGAGTAGCTAAAATAATAGTAGATATGAAAATCTTCTAGCAGAAAAAAATTATATTAAAAAGATTTATTCGCAAACAAGTTATCGTCAAATCACTGACTACTGAAATTTTCACTTTCTCGATCAAATTCTCCAACATTAATTTCAATAGAAAGTAAAAACAATATATTCGCTCTTAAATGCTTGGATCTACTGACCTAGGATATTATTTTTGATGTTTAAGGCATAGTGTAAATTATTTCCGAAGATATGATGCACGTTTTTGTTATATATTTTAGCGTAGAATCCAGACGGTGTTATTAGATTTATCATAAAGCCTAGTTTAATAGCGTGAGAAGAAAATAAATCGAGCGTATCAATAGTCTTTTTATTGAAATTAGTTCTAACTAAAATTTGAATGTAATAGGTCAAGATTTGAAAAGAATAATCGAGACGTGTAATTTTTCGATTTTTCGTTACTTTTTCAATTGTTGAAATAATAATTGCGATCGAATGATTCCAGCTTTAATTATAAAGCTTTATGACAACGTTCGTCTTTATTAAATTTAATAAAGATGCAACGACATAACCGAATTGCAGTTTTTGAAAAGTGAACAAGTTTTTCTGATTTGATTTCTATTGGAATGAAATCGATTGCGAATAGTAGTTACAGTCTAAGCCGTGTAACTTTGTATCGGTTTCCAATACCCATTTTATGAGTTTTCCTTTGGTAAAAAAAGATTGATATGTTCGACTTGAAGAGAATGTGCAATCACTTCGCCAATTTCTTAATAGCAGTGCAACCAAACGAGTTTCATCATGTAACTATTCTTCCTCTCTTCATCTACTTCATAACAGTGCTAACGTCGAGAGTAGTTGTCTTCCTGCAAGTAAACACAAAGAATCCAGTGAACAAAAACCAGTATCTTTTACAGATTCTTGCAGGTATTCAGTTTAACTTTCCAGCATGTTGGAGCAGGAAACATTGCCCATTGAGATTTATCGTGCTCAATTTTTTCTTTCCAACGACTTCTCACCCAAAGCATCAACCAATCACTAGAGCTCTTTTTTTCTCTATCTCTCTCCTTCCATACGGTCTGTATTTGATTTTTTTCATTACAAATCGCCTTCGCGGTTCACCGAGATATGCCAGACGTACGATACGCTGGGTACGGAAAATGCTTATTATGGAGCATGGATTAGAAAGCAATTTGCCGAGCAAGAAGCTGCGTAGTACGATTGTTCTATGATTATTCATCATGAAATCGTAAAAACGCAATTGGAAGTGTGTATTTACCGTGAATGGAATTGTAAAAAAACTTCTGCGTGTGCAGCTAATTTTTATCTCAACGAATACAAACACGAGTCTTGAATCTGTTACCAAGACCGTCGTTTTCTAAACGTTATTATCGTGCAAAATTATATATAAAACATCTCTGGATTTTATAAATTATTTTAAGCACATATTTTTCAATGAATCACACTTGAATTTATACTTCATTATGAATCTCAATCGTTCAACGCATATTCTTATGCCCATAAATTATATCAGCTAAGTTCGCCAATACAAACCAAATGAATTAGCGATTCGTCGTGTAACCTGACTGATCATTAATATCTGGTGAGGTCCAATGATTTTCCTTGGGCAAACGAGCCATGACTACTCCACGTAATCCGTCAGTCTTGGGGCGTTGAATACGTGGATATAGCTCGGGTTCACGATCGCAGTGTGAAGGCGAGCGCACGTGGCCAAGGCGACGAGCAGCGCGTCCGGCAGGATAATCACTCGAGTGCGGCTTTCACAGATAATTATACCGTTTACGGGTACGAATGGCATCTCTTTCTCTCACGCGAGTTGAAAATCACTAAATTGCGCCTAGGATTAATGCCAGCGGAAGTTACATTATCTAGCTTTTTATAGGACTAACTTATGACACATTGTTTCAACTTTTGGTAATCCAATTCTAAATTTGTTCCGTCATTGAATGAGGTAAAATATAGTTCTTCGTGCAAAGGGTGGATTAATTTTGTCTAAAGGTAGCTTATTTTGGTAAAAAATGTGAAAAAGACACAATGAAGTTCAGTTACATGCAACAGGGAAGATAAGACCTAATTTGTGGCACGAAATCAGTTAACGCTCGTTCATTCAACTTGGTTGTACAAAATAAAAATTACATATTAATTCAAAATTGTCAATGTTGGAGCTATATTCGATAATTCAATAGGTAATTGTTTAATGCAGTTAATATATTCGCACGTTGGTAAAGTAGTTTCTGGTTCGGGTACGCAGTCGCTTACTGATGAATGAGGACACTGCATACGTAAGTACCTGCGCATCAATATCCCACAGGACACTATTCGATCAATTTTCTCATTAATCTTAAGCACTGATACTTCTACGCCTTATTAATTCATACGACGAAATTTTTTATTCCAATAAAAAATAATTATTTTTACAATATTTTTCAAATTCACATGTAAATAATCTCAATAAAAAATATTATACTTTACGTTTTTTCGAAGAAGAAACTGCGTCTAATTCTGCGACATTAACATGAATTTTTAATTAACGCTTTCTCTATTAGTTATTTTTTTATGAGAAATGTCCTCCTCCATGTAAACTGTTTAATCCTCGCCACGCATTATCCCAAAGATTGTTTGCTGATCTACGTTACGTAGACTCGCTTGGGTAGCTTAACGTGTATTATTAACTCATTCTTGGAAAGGTCATCCTGTGTCAGCACCACGCCTAAGAAAACATTTTGAAAATATCTGTTATAACGAATGAGTATTGCTGTATGCCAATAGGATGATCAAATACCATTAAAGAATTAGATGATTTGAATTTTTAAGCGTATGGTAAATTGATTTTAGAACTTTGCTTGAAGATAAATAGCCCATGTGTTTGCAGTATTTACAAAATACTCGTAATTTATTCCATACGTATAAGACCGCTAAAATAGGAGGAATTTTATGCGTTAAGTTTGATAGCTCAATATTGATTAAAATAATATTAGCATTCAAGGGATACTTCACTCATTCATGGATACTCGATTAAATTGTACTATATATTAATAGAATTTAGCTCTTCCTAGTTACCCATAATGAAATAATTAAATTAATGCACTTTTGACCTTCAATTGACAATAAAATATAATTCATTCCTACTAAATAAAAAAAATACTGACAACTTCTAAACAATAACGCAAAAGGATTACATTCTGAAAAATAAAGCAGATGTACGTATAGAACGAAGATGAAAGAAAAAACCATTGAAATGAGAGAGCGAAGTTTCATCTGGAACAGTGATTGAAGATGATTCGTTGGTAGGAACAACTCGGTCGAGGTTACAAGCGTAAATTATGCTCGCATACTTACTTTCCAGTCAGATCCACTACGAATCTGAACGTATGATGATTCGAGTACAAGATTGTCGTTTCAGAACCGTACATGATGATTGCAATTTAGCAAATCCGTTTTTTTTTTATTAAACGTACGTTGCTCTTGTTTCGCAAACATTACACAGAGTACACAAAGCTTACATTGGTTTTATTTTTATTATTCATTGGTAGTGAGATAATTGATTAGGACGATAGGTATAAATTACATCTAAATTATCAACAAAATATTAAAAAATTTGAGATTGTGAATCAGTCGATCAATAAATTTCATATATTAATCTTTTTTAAATTGCTAATACATAAAAAAAGAAACATCTTTTCTATTATACAATGCAGTGTGAATTTCAAATATAAGAATGAACAGAAAAATTTATTCTGAAGAGACTTTATACAAAAGACATGGAACTTACTGTAACAATGAGGGATTATCTGAAAATCGGAATTAAAGAAGTAAAAAAGTTCGATCATTCGTTACGGCGGAAAGACAACAGGAAATTTGCGACAGCCTGCGGCGTTAGGAATTGGCTTCGCCGGAATTCAGCTTCTTGTCGCTTTTGTCACTCGCGGGCGCAAGTGTTCTTTTACGCACTACTTCGTATCCCCAATATACTTTGCCTAGTTGTATCTTGCAACTCGCAGTTACTTGCTGAACAAACATTCGACGGTGACGACTCGAAATAGATGTAATTGCACGCCACTCTTCTCTCCGCGGTCAGCGCATAGTTTATTTTTAGAAGAAAAGCCTAGGAAAAGAAAAAAATTAACGATGTGATATAAAACATGCCGGAAGCATGAAATTCTGTCAAACTTTTGCGGTTTGTGTAATTTTATAAGAACCGTTGCATTATTATTATTATTATTTTTATTTAGTTTCTATTTTTATTTATCAATCCCTTGAATTCC